ATGGGGCTGGAGGTGGGGCCCAGGTTCCTGGGGCCGCCGGGCGGGGGCCCGATGCCGGGGAGCATGGGGTTGGACAGGGGGCTGTTGGGGTTGGAGGCGTGGTGCGGCGGCCCGCGGATGAAGGGCGGGCGGATCTGCTGCATGATCTGCTGCTCCATGAAGATGGGCAGCGGCACCGGGCCGCGGTTGGTCATCACCATGGGAGGGCTGCGGGGCGGGACTCCGAGGGGGGGCCCGATGCTAGCAGGTGGCTGGACGGCGACGGGGGGGATGTTTGCAGTCTCGCTGATGGGTATGGACTTGGGCACGGGCGTGGGGATCTTAGTGACAGAGCAGTTGGCGGTGTCAGATGGAGAGACGGTGGTGGACGCCGACGGGCCAGGGCCCTGGCTTTGGCCAGCTGCAGCCACCGGGGAGGGGGCCTTCCTCCGAGCATCTGTCAGAGGGATATTCCAAGAGTCTGGAGTGAGCAGCTGCACCCCGGTGCCTTCTGCTTTATTTTCCATGGGAGGGTGTAATGTGCTGCACAGCCCAGCTGGAAGATTGGCCTGTGTCTCTTTGTAGAAAATGTCCATTTTGTATTGATTGAGACATTTTGCGCTGCAGAACTGAAGCCTTCTTTCCCCGTCCCCAAAATCCAGATATTCTTTTGTGTGTCTGATGTGCTTACACCAGTCACATACCTACAACACAGTAATAAAAAGAAAAAGGTAAGATAAGCAATGCCCTCTGGTAGGCGGTGTTTCATGTGTCACGTAAAGGTTCTTTCAGACTTTATCACAATTTTTCAAAAGGGCTGAAAGTGCTTCCTTCCAAAACGTAAAATTCTTAAATGTTTGTAAAATTATTTCTCCCTGGAAGCCAGAGTTGCTTTATTAATATTAACTCTTCAGAACAGCAATTATCACCCTTTCCTACTTAGGAAAAAAATAAATAAATAAGAAATTGTGTTGTCTCCTTCAAGGTGGATCTGACAGAAAGGCATACATATACCTGCCCACGCATTTTCACTTGTCAAAGAGGTTCATTGTAAATGCAAATTTAATGGCTTTGGAGAGGATTCTCCAGAAAGTTCAGTGGGCTTTGAAATACAGCCCCTTAAAATTCTCCTCACGCAAAGTCACTCTGCACTATTGACTGTGTTTGATAATGCAGTTGGAAAGGGTGGCCTGTGTTAACCAATAACACAAAGCGCGGAGCATCATTACGTCTGCCTTCCAAGGGGAAACTTGGAATTAGTCATGACGCCTGTGTGAGGTTTAGCTATGCCCAACCTGTGGTGTCGCAGCAAGCTAGAATTATTTTCTGAGCTGTTTGCCCACTTTCTCTCAGTAGTCAGAATTTTGGTGACATTTCTTGGCATGCAGTCTTATTTAACAACTTTTCAAACACCAGAGAACGTTTTCCAAAGTTGTTATGGCTTTTTCCCCCCCCCTCTTCAAATCCACTCCTGGCAAACGAAAGGCATCACCAAATTTATTTTAAAGTTGGGCTGCAGAACTAATTAAAGGCTGAGAGCTTTTCCCAATTGGAAATCACTAGACATCAAAGTTCAAAAAATAGTCATTCTCGGCTTCAGAACCCATTACTTTGGAGAAATTATTGTGATTTCATTAACACATTAATTTTGCAACACCATCAGCTCTCACAGATGGTGAAGGCATGATCTACAATTCAAATATGACTCTTGTTTGCACAAATGTCTTTCCTTCATATGGCATTTTAAACAAGAATTAATATGAGTAATCTTGCCATAGCTATAAACAGATAAACAGATGTCAAAATTTTCAATAGTTCTTTCAGTGCCTTACTTTTTTGACTGAACATTACACACACAGTTTTTTTTCTTTTTCACATATATATTTTTTACATCATTTCCTCAGCACTGAATCCACACCGCAGCAGCCGCAGAATTCTGAAATGCAGTGCAATGGTGAGGCCACTGGGTTTAAGTCTCTCCTCACTAAAGCACTGGTTCCATTATTGTTCTAAATGGAACCCTGCTCTTGTTGAGGAGGGTCTCTGTTGTTCCCTTGTTGTTGTTGTTGTTTAACTATGATAAATTAATAGCATTAAAAGATGATAAATTTCAATAATGATTGGTCACATCAACAATGCAAAAAAACAACATATGCTGAGCATTTCATTACTCATCTCATTTAACTCTCAGCTTTCCTTGATTGTAAACAGTGGTGGCATGCTAGTGTGTGATTGTAGGTGCACACACTCATGGCAAATGTAAATTAAGTGTAAATTCACTCTTTTCCTTCTCACTATTTTTTTCACTGATATTGTTAGGTAATATACTTCACAGTGCGAGATTGAATAAGAAATGCTTATTGGCACGCATTAAGTTTTTTGTTTGGTCTCACATCAAATTACTCTTTCAAAATACTTGTTGCCAAAACCAAATAACTTCAATGCTAATATACTCCCGTGTCTTACTACAGTGTTTCAGTTTTCTCCAGAATTAAGGGAGCTTTTGAAAAAATCATAGTTGAGATGTCCAGTTTACACATAAGTACAGAATCCTTTAGACCCTCAAAGTTATCATCTAGATAAAGATTAAATAAGCTATCGTGAAAACCTGATACATGTAAGTTGCTATTTGTAAGATCTGATGATTTTTATAAAGTTAGTGTACAATGACATGACATATAAATTTTAATATGAAATAAAGCCACCTGATTCCGTTTCAATGTTAGGCATCCATCGAAAGCCTAGAATATCATTTTATAAGCTAGAAGTGAAGGGTCAAATATGACTTTTTTCATCATGAACTAAAATACATCATCAATGAATTAAACTAATTAAAATAATACACCAAAATTCCTGGCATATTTCTTTTGGATCTTCTTTTTAAACCATAAGGGGAAAGAGTTTTCTGAAATCCTTAATTGGTTTTCAAATTGCCAGATTGGATTATTTGCCTCCAGAGGACTTCTCTGTTTCCTCAAGCTAAATAAATATTTTCAAGTGGAGTCACAGAAAATAATCTAAATATAACTTAAATGTTCTCCCTGCACTTCCTTCACTTTCAGTCATTCATTGATGAGTCAGAAACGCTTATAGATTTACCCCAATTATCAAATGGGAAGTCTCCTCCATATTTTGTCTATTTCCACATAACAAGAATTACAGACATCAAAGTTCCAAGCAAAATTCTATTTCATCAGACTTTCCAGTTAAAGCAAAGGCCTAATACTTAGCTACTTGACTGCAGCATCACAGTTTCTGACTGTCTTATTTTGGGTACTGTGAGTGTGAATGTGTGTGTATCCTTGACTTACTACATTTCCATTCAGAACACTCATCTAAAAAGACAGAAAAGCAATATTTCTGAGGAAGCAAAAAATTATTAGAGAAAAAAAACTGTCACTTAAGACATAATGAATCAAATCTGTCTTACAGGACACATCATTTAAGATGAGGTCAATGAATTTATGGTACAAATGGTTATATCATGTGAGGCAATAAAATGCAGTACCATCATTCATTCGACATCTAACTAATGACACACTTCTGGTAATTAAAGATTTCATCATAAGTGCCTGAGCTGATTGCTTAAGATGTAGTGGCTAGGTGAAAATATATACTGTAGATCTTTCTCTTTAATAGCATTTGCATATCCATGAAATACACAGCATGTGTCTCAGGAACTAGGATTTTCTGAATTGTGGTGTTATAAGGTATCCTTCCCTTCTTTTTCCACAGACGGCTTTTTTTTTTTTTTAACTTCATGAGGCATTTTTTCCTCATTATGCCCAAGAAGTACCAAAATTCCTTCAGATATTTTGAGAGATAAAGGTTAAGAAGTGCAGAGCTCAACTCACTGGCTCTGGGATGACTTCCCTCTAATTCCACCCTGGCTTTGTTTCTGTTGGAATCCGGCCCCTTTGGTTCCACTCTCTCCCTAACAGGTCCCAGATTGGACAGAGCTGAGGCTGAAGCTGTTTAACGATCGCAATCTGGGGACCAAACAATCAGCTCATGCAACGCCACTGAGCGAGACAGCTGAAATGCTTCGTATCACAAATACATAATGTATCACCAGGACGACAAAAAGATCACAAAGGAGATAAACAAATGTGTATTCCATTCAACCCCGTAACAGCAGTCCTCAAAAAGATTAAATTCACCTTCCTGGGATGTGTCCAATTCTAAACAACAGAATGAACATTTCCTTTAGTCCATTTAGACTATTTATATTTTGGTGGCTGGCTGCCAGGGTAGTACTTATAAGCTCAGTGGCCTGATGGATTCACTCCTTTCCTGTGAAATAAATGTGTGGCAACCTACACCACTAAACTGCTCCAAAGACACTGCCTCAGCAGAAATATCACTTGCTCTTGATACAAGAAAATTGAAAGGCAGGACTTCTGGTTCCTATAACTCTTTCCATCTTGTATTTCCCCTGGAAAGAAAGAAAGCTATTCATGTTATTTTTATATAAACGTCCAAAGTCTAAGCCAAAGTATGCCATGAGGTTACCCACATGGGCACAATATATACATTCTACTGGGCTTAAGAGAAGATTCGGGGAACGGGGAGAGGGGGCAGGGTTCCTAATTAACACATTAATCAGCTGTCAGCTGTGGAAGTGAAGTTCATTCATTAATGGAACCCACCACTGTCTTCTGAGTGGTAGTCTGGCATCAGGCAATATTTAATTAAGAAACCCTTTTGCTGAAATCTTTCTTACCCAGGCAGAGACGTTTTCAGCAATGGAACAGGAAAAGGATATTAACACTCCTTTGAACGCCATCAACAATTTGAAAAAACAGAACAACCTTCACGTGCTCCTGACTTTCCACAAATACAGGACCCAGGTAACAGCTCAAAAGCTGTAGCTCCTTAAGCAAAGCTGTAACTTGCAATAAGATGCTGGCTCCTCAGATCTTGGCCTGTTAAATGTGGCATTGATCTTGCACTGCAGGCCAGCTCAAAAATCATGAGCACACTCAGGGGTGAAGCAAAGGAGGGTAAAAAGACAGCGGTGGGGGTGAGCAGTGTTTTGAAGAGTCTGAGGTCTGCCCTACCTGTAGTCACCTTACAGCATGAGTTGAGGGCCTCAGACTGAACCCACCTGAACACTTGCTTCCAGCCTGACCCTGGAGTCCCATGGTGCCACCATCAACTGTTCCTTTGGGTTTACACATTGCCTCCATCAGGGCGCTGGGGTGGCAAAGGATGCCATGGAAATCACGTGGGGTTTGGAATGAGAAGAGATGTGGGTTTGAGTCTGGGCTCCATTATTTACTAGCAGTGAAATCTTATGAAAAGCTCAGGGTCAGTTTCTTCTTCGTTTGTGAATGGAGGTAATAGTGGTAACAAGTATTGCTTGTGCATCAGGCATATCATGAAGCTTGTTGTATAGTGTGTTTTTCAGTCCCTAGCCTGTTTCTCTCATGGTTGCTGATGTCCCAGGAATATCCCATATGTTTAAGTTCATTTTAACTTAATGCAAGGATATTTCTATGGCAGTGTGAGGAAGAAAAGGAAAATTTTTGTCCACAGATTTCCTATGAGCCTACGTGGTTTTGAGAGAGAATGGAGCACGCTTCCCTCTGGGCACGTGCACACAGCACCTCAGACACCAGCCCCCACCCTGCTTCCTAGGAGACTGTCCCAGAGGTAACAGAGGGGCTGTCTGCAGTGACAAGGAACCGTGTCCAGCTGCCCA